GGAGAGAATGTCATCAGTCATGGTTTCGACGCGCTCGGTACGACGCCTGCGACCCGTCTCCGGTCAGGTGGCACGACGCTCATCGCGCCTGCCAGCGCTGCCGTGCAGGCTGCCACGACAAGGTCGAGCACGCTTCTATACGCTCGCCCAGCCTTCCTTTTCATCCCATTAGGCAGCCTGGGAACGGTGGCGAGCAGAGGCAAAGCCTACGAGGGGTGGTGGAACCACATGTCGCGGCTACTGCCGGCTCGACCCCACGATAGCCTCCGAAGGCTGACTTTGAGGCACCATCATCGGACGACATCGACGAGCTGGGTCGCTCTCGCGGTAGCCAGATGACCTCTCATACTAGGATCATCGACCATGGCCGCAGGGAGCGCGGGGGATGGCGCAGGGAGCAACACGGAGCTCCGTTGGACGTTTTCAAGATTCGAGCGACAGCGTGTCAGAGAGTGAATTGGAACTAGCCTCTGCCACCTCGTCTCCGTGGCGCGTGGGTAAGAGACGCCGAACTCCAGGAGGATCCGCTTACGCGCTTCCTACTGCGGTGGGACGAATTTGAGGTCGGGACACGGGCGCTGTCCGACAGAAACGGGACGCAGGTCATGATGGGCAAGGATAAAGAGCCGCTCGGCTCGGGGAAGGGCCGTGAGCTCAATGCGGAGGTGGCCAGGATATGCCTTGCGCTGCACAGAGCGCGGCCCTTCACGCACTCGCTGCGACGGATGGAGGGAGAGACATGCCAAACAAGTGGGTGGGGGATAGGTTCGTGCCTCGACCAGTTGTGTCGTATGGGGTGTACGAAGGGCCGGCCCGATTCGGGAGACCCGTCGAGGGATCTGGACAGCTCGAAGGCGGGGACGATGAGCTGCGGCTCGCGTTTGGGCAGGGGCTGTGGGGCGGCAGACTGCCAGACGACTGGCAGGTGATAGACGCGGAAATGTACGCGGTGCTGGCTTACCTGCGTAAGATGGCAACGGCGGAGGATGCGGCGGACAGGAGGTGCCTCGTCTTGAGCGACTGCAAGCCCGCGCTACAGCAGATCGAGGCGGCGTACCGAAGAGGCTCTCTTGAGGGGCTCAGGGAGTGGGATCGAGGAGGGGCATTAGAGGGGATATGCAGATATCGCGCTCAGCTCGAATCCGTCACGTTCCTGTGGGTACCGAGCCACGCGGGGTGCGCTAGCAACGCCTACGCCGACGCCGCGGCGACGGCATACATGGGGGCCAGCGAGATTGAGGATGCCACCGCCGTCATCCGTGAAGCAGTGAGGACACGCCCGTGCCTGTACACGGACCGCCAGAGGACGGCAGACGGAGAGTGGAGGGGAGACGTACTGGACCGGAGGACCTATTACGCCACACGCGGCCACACGAACGAGTGGGTGCGAGGACGGCTCGGCGAGGGACTCACGGCGGGATCGCACACGGCAGGGGTGACGGGGCCGCTGTGGAGCGATGTGGTCAGGGGAACGACGAGACACAAATGGGACAAGCGCCAGCGGATCAAGGATCAACACGGCGAGCGCGAGATTGATTTCGCCGATGTGGATGATCATAACGTGGTGACAAAGACTGTCATGGGAGCGCGGGTGCGGCAGCAGGCGGGGGTGCCACACGGAACGCACCACGAGAGGATCATGCGGGGAGAGGCGGGGAGAGAGATCCCGGGCGCCGCCACAAGGAGCGAACTCAGGGGCTGCCTCGTCTGTAAGGCCGCGAGGGACGTGGCGAGGAGGGCAGCGCTAAAGCGGGACCCGCTGTGTCCGATCGTGCGGAAAGCCGCGCAGCAATGGACCGAGGAAGATGAGAACCCGCCTAGAGCGACAATGGCGCACGTGCTTAGCGGCGCCTGCCTGGGGAATAGGGAGCAGGCCGGATGGTTCCTCAGAGTAGCGCGAGCGCAGACAGGGACGGCGATCAGCAAAGTGGCACAGGCGGCACCCGACTCCAAGGATACGCTGAAGACGCTGAGGATGGCGCATGTCGCTGCGCTGAAGGGCTCACGCTATAGGGTGCTGGATGAGGACGGGTACGATGCGCTAGCTCCCGCAGTCAGGGGGGTGTTGCCAGCACTGGTAGATGACCTCTCGGAGAAGAACCGAAGGGACCTTGGCACCGGGGTCACGAGGAACTTGCAAGTCGTGGCCGAGGCGGCGACGGGAGCGGTGCAGAGGTGGATCCAGCTCAATGATGAGGCTACGGCGCGCATAATGAAGAGAGAGGAACACATCGAGTGGCTGAGGAAGCTCTTCGCTGGGTGGAAGGAGGCCCGGCCGCGGCCTTGAGGGAGTCGCGGAGGAGGAGGGATAACGGAGATAACGTGCAGACAGGCCAGCAGCCAGTGGGACGAACAAGGGCCGCGACGGCGGCTCAAGCGGGAGGGAGCGGAGACAGTGGGCAGCGAGCAAAGTGGGTGAGACTGATGATGCTCCTTCGACTTAGGGAGCGGTTCAGCTGCTGGGCGGGCTTCAGGGTGGTGCTCACGCGAAAAGGAATCGACGCGATGTGCAAAGCATACAAGAAGGGGAGAGGGAAGAGGAGAGACGCCGGTGAGGACGAAGCAGAAGCTAGTGCAGACGAGGGCAGGTCAGACCCGGGGACGGCGGAGTCGGACCAGACGGCATCGGCCGCCGAGGGAACGTTGGGAAGAGGCACGAGGAGGGCGGCGACCTCGACCGACTATGGAGGACCCGTCGCCAGACGACGCAGGGCAGAAGACGGTGAGGCGGAGCAGACGCGCAGGGCGAGACGAGGGAGGGAGCAGGACTTTGCGGAGATCAGCAGGAGGATGTACGAAGAGATTAGGAGCAGCAGGGACCCGAGGGACCATGTGGAAGACGGCTAATGCTAGTCCCCATCGGGAGGACGACCCCGGCTAGTCGCCGTCGCCGACCACACCCACAAAGAACCCTGCACAAAGATCGCAAGGGCGGGGACCTGTTCCTTTTTACCCATCTCACAGTAGAGAGGTGTCCGTTTTTATTTATTTATTTCGTCTCCGTGGAGAGAAAGCTCTCGCCGCATCTCTGATCTCGCATTCTCCTCTCGACCTCGTCGAATTGTGGCGAATTATCAATATTAAGACTCTATACGGGGGAAACTGTAGGAAGGCCGAAACACCGACAACCACATTGACGCGCTCTCCGCCGACCAGAGACCACACCGCGACACCGGAGAACCGGGCGCGCGCGCGGCCACACCGCCCCCCGCGCTCCCGGCGCCCGCGCCGCTCGCGGTGGTGCCGCTGCGCGCTACTCTCTATACGACAAGACACCCCCCCAAGAACGTCTCGACATGGCCAGCAGTTCATGCGTGCGCGGCGCCCCGACGCCGGCAACTCCAAACGACGACGACACCACGCAGCGCCCCGATAGCGACACAACTCCACTTCACGCGGCAGAGGAGAGCGGCTTCTGTCACGAGCCTCCCCCTCTACCACCCCGACACAGCAGCAAGCCTTTCATGTTGCCCCAGCGCACGCCCCGCGTGCGCCGGGCGCCGCCAGTTGGCGGCTAAGAGACGTAGCACGTGAACATCGCGCTCTCCAAGTCGTTCTTGTCGAGGCTGATCAGGTCGCCGTTCTGCAGCTGCCGCGACTCGTAGCAGCGCAGAAACTCCCACGGCCGGCCGCCCGACGCGTAGCCCGTCTCCGGCTTGCCACACGACATCACCTTTGCGGTGCCGTCGGCCGAGACCTGGATCTGGCACTGCGAGCGCGAGATCGTGTTCTTCGGCACAGGGAGGTCGTTGCGGCCGATGATGTGGTCCTGAGAGGGGGGGGGGGGTGAGTGGGGGAGGCACGGATCACAATAGGGCCCTCGACAGAGCCACTGGCGCGAGCAAGAGAGTGCTCTCGGCGCAGCGTGTACCGGTCTCCCTCGCGCATCAAGTCGTGCGAGGCGGCCCCTCTCTCTCTCGCGTGGGCCGAGGTGTGGGAGGCGGTGGGAGGTCCGCCGCGCAGCAGCTAAGGCGTGTTGTCACCTCGCCCGGCCGGACGACAAAGCAGGTGCCCGCGGCGTTGCACACCTGCCAGGTGCCCGCCGCGGCGAACTGGCCGCCGCCGTAGCCCGCCGCCCCCGCCCCCGCCGCCGCCCCC